GGAAGGTTTGACTTTTACAATGATGTACCGTGTGCTCTGAATAGGTGAATGTAATCCTCCTGCCTATGGTGTTCTTAGACACCCAAGCAACTTACTTGCATCTTGTGACTAGTACCAAAAAGGCTCTTTACCTTTTCCCTATCATTTGGATTGCTTAAAATAAAATAGTATGACTTTACTTACCATCTTAGGATTTTATTCAGACCCTCAGAACGATTATAACAAATAACCAGTCTGGGATAATTGTATAGTGGGGTTTCATGAAAGCTTTATAGCTACTTGCACTGTGGTCCTAAAAATACTGTCTGTGTCCAACAGTGTACAAAAAAGGGTTAATTTATGAGCTGTACCGTGACTAGATGAGCTCTATAATGATTAAAGATCATTTCTATCTCAGAAAACAAAGACATGCTGGATTGCTGAATAGTCACTAAGCCACTCAGTGGTCTTGGGGTATACAATTGGGGCTTGGAGCATTAGATCATTGCACTGTCTGTGTAGCATGGCAGCACCAAAAGGGTTTTGGCTATCAAGCGCTGTAAGGAAAAACCTTGAACCCCACCAGGGATTACAGGCAGTAATGGGAAAGGCAGGAAAAACCTTCATAACGAAGGAATGTGCCTAGCCTTGGCCACCATCTTTTCCTCTAGGGGAAGGAATTTTGAGATTTTCCCGTTTACTTCCATGCAGTCAGGTCAGCATCAGAAAGCAGCTACAAAACCTACTTAGTAATTTACAGTGCTGCTATACAAATGCATAGTAAATATTAAATTGCATACGAGTGATACGCAAGGACAATCAGATAGTATACAAGCAGATACAATGATAACTCTCACATTACATAATCTTCATATGAGAGATACCCATGGACACCCAGGACATTAGGTTCTTGTATTTATCTTAGACATTTCAGCTCCAATGCCAAACATAACCAAAATTCTTATGCCAATGCCTATGACCTTTCTCCCCTCTGAATGCTGGTACAGCAACTACGTAAGTGTTCTGCACACCCAAACACCCACATTTAAATGCAATGTAAAGCAGAAAGGAAGTGGGTAAATCAGCAATGGGCAAACTACGGCCCGGCGGACCTTTTAATCCGGCCAGCGGAGCTAGGCTCCCGCTAGGCTCCTCTCACAGTCCGCCCTGAAGACCGGTGTAGCATGAAAATCTGTCTCCTATGAGGATCTGTCCCCCTCGACGTATCTGCGCATGTGCCGGAGATCGCCGATCGGCTGCTAATGCCTGAAACTGGCACATGCGCAGATACGTCGAGGGGGACAGATCCTCATAGGAGACAGATTTTCATGTTACACCGGAACGGCGCGGGAACACGGCGAGAGGAACGCGCGGAGCAAAGGTAAGTGAATTGACACAGGGGGGACTTGGGGACTTAATATGGGGGATGAATTACTATGGGGGATGAATTACTATAGGGGGATGAATTACTATGGGGGATGAATTACTATAGGGGGGATGAATTACTATAGGGGGGATGAATTACTATAGGGGGGATGAATTATTATGGGGATGAATTACTATATGGGGGATGAATTACTATATGGGGGATGAATTACTATATGGGGGATGAATTACTATATGGGGATGAATTACTATATGGGGGATGAATTACTATATGGGGGGATGAATTACTATGGGGGATGAATTACTATATGGGGGATGAATTACTATATGGGGGATGAATTACTATATGGGGGATGAATTACTATATGGGGGATGAATTACTATATGGGGGATGAATTACTATATGGGGGATGAATTACTATGGGGGATAATTACTAGGGGGGATGAATTACTATATGGGGGATGAATTACTATATGGGGGATGAATTACTATATGGGGGATGAATTACTATGGGGGATGAATTACTATATGGGGGATGAATTACTATATGGGGGATGAATTACTATATATGGGGATGAATTACTATATGGGGGATGAATTACTATGGGGGATGAATTACTATGGGGGATTATTTACTATGCTTACTATGGGGGAATATTACTATACTTACTATGGATGACACATACACATCATTCATCTACTCTTGGTCCAGCCCCCGGGTCCAATATATGAACCCATTGCAGCCCTCAAGTCAAAAAGTTTGCCCACCCCTGGGGTAAATAATGAACTATTTTACAAATGACAGGTGCCCTGCCCAATGTTTGAAGTCTTACTCCACTCCAGCACCATATGGGACATTTTGATCCTGGTGCATGTTAGGTTATGCAGATAATTACTTCAAGAACCTGACCCTGTAGCAGTAACAGAACATTCATATTGACTTACTATACCTATTCTGTTAGGATGATTGTGTAAATAAGATGTACTGACATTTTGTAACATATGCTGCAGCACTTAACTTAAACATTCCCAGTCATGTATAAGCTTCAGAGTGATATCATGATCAATCATGATACCACATCTACAGGCCACATTGTTGCCCATAATCCTGCATTATGTGCTGCAAGGTACATATCACATGAATGGGCTGTCTGAAATGGCAGCAAAATGGCCTGTAACCCCAGCTACACAACCAGTCATACAAGACGTTTATACTACTGTAAAAAACATAGAACTAGAAAAGAATATAGTGACCACATAACCTAATTTAAAGGGCCCAGTGCTGTAACCAATATTTCTTCATATATTCAACTACAATGTTAAGACCACCCCCAGAGGAAGAATGTATTAAATACAATAATATATGATGAGGAAACCTGCTAAAGTTATTTCATGAATTATATGCCTACAAAGGAGATTTTTCTTCTCCTTCCACCCCCCCCCCCCCCCCCCCCCAATCTACCTCCAATTGTACACACTTTTGCACACTGGTACTGACTAGTATTCCAGTTTTTCTTTTCTCCCTCAGTTTTTCTCCATCACTGAGCTAATATGACCCCAGCACCGATGGAGATGAGCAGGGGAGGGTCAAACAAGGATACTGTGCAGGAAACCAACATCCTCCTTATCAACCAACAATGTCATTGGTTGTCAGGTTGCCAACACCTAGAAGGTTGTTATGGTGCACAATGAAAACCTCTGGCTTTGTGTAACTAAAAGGCTTGTTCCACACGCTGGCTTGTATACCTATACCTTTATCATGTATGACCGGCCTTACACTCCTCTTATTAGTCACTTCACAGTGAAGCCTTAGCTCCTACCCACAGAGATAGGGGGAGGAAAGCTACCCAACTCATGACTAATTACTACCACATGTTGCTAGAGTGTGCAGAAAAAAACAAGACATATATTCACATACATATATATATACACATAGACTATAAAAATCTGTTTATCTTACTTTTACTAATCTAGAACAAATGGAAATATAACAACTCAATTATTCTATTAAGATCCAACACATTCATACATATGTTAGTAATGTTAATAAGCAGATTTTAGATTAAGGAAGGCTTCTAACAAGCACAGTGCATGATTTATTGCTCCTCCCCCATTAAAGAATAATCCAGCAACCTGTATTTTGCCTATTTTGGTGGTTTTTGAGGACATGTCTGGTTAGGTACACGTTACTACTTTTATCTGTTGATGCTGTCCACTCTCTAAAACATATAAAAGGGGTTATCTACTAAGGCTGGAGAGTGCAAAATTTGGTGCAGCACTGCATATAAACAAATCAACTTCCAGATTTTATTGTCAAAGCTTAAATGCACAAGCTGAAATTAGAAGTTGACTGGCTATCATGCACAGCTGCACCAGATTCTGAGTGCTCCAGCTGTAGTAAATCTCCCCCATAGTAAAATAACAGCTGAATCATTTATTTACTAGTAAATATCTATTATATAATGTTCAGATGATAAATTCTCACACAACCACAGCAAGTTAAGATCAAGCATCATTAGCCCTAGAGAAGGAGACGTAGTCCCAAAGGTGCACGGACTTATCCCGGAATTATAAAAGAATAACAACGTATAGTACATTCCTCGGTACACAGGCACTGCACCTACTGATGGCGTGAAGCACACTTTTATTTCACCACACATAGGACGCTGTGATATCTCTACATTGTCAAGCAGCCAATTTTTTTCCGCTTGATACAGACTATAGTCACAGCCATAAGCATCTAATTTATGCTTAATATTTCTCTTTTGACAGGAACCTATAAGTTATTAATTAAATATAATTTATTTTAAAACTTTTGCTTTCATTATTGGTTAACATGTTGCATCATGGTACAATTTTTTTTCGGTACTCACATGATCTATAGTCACAGAATGCTCTTATCCTGTAACAGATGAATAATAGATTGCATGGCTGCAGCAAAAGCACAAACACCTTCCAAGAGATCTAGCCCTTATATGCTGATATATGTGCAATATTATTTTACGTTCATTACAGGGACTTCATTTGACCTGTTTTCTGTAGACTCTCCACATTTTTCAAGTGCCTATCAATAGAATTTATCTTACATATTCTCATCTTTATGTCTCCAGAATTGCACTTGTCTGCCCCTGAACTGCCCTCTATGGGGGAGGTTTACTAAAACTGGAGTGCACAAATCTGGTGCAGATCTGCATACAAACCAATCAGCTTCCAGGTTTTATTGTCAAAGCTTAATTGAACAAGCTTAAGATAGCAGCTGATTGGCTACCATACACAGATGCACCAGATGTGGAGTGCTCCATTTTAAGTAATTCTCCCCCTCTTTGGGACAATAGATGCAAGAAGAATGTTTTTTCTATCTTGGGATAGAATAAGGAAGGTTTAGAACCCTTGTCTGGTTTAATGTTATCCAAGACTCTGTTACAGAGCTTTACCCTAACTTCCTGTTTTGCTGACAAGTTTCAACAGACAGGCAGTGAAGGCAAATCTGCAACAGGGATACGGCATGCATTTTTCTATTGTGCTTTTTTTCATATTAGTGCAAACTCCGAGGGACAGTAAATTGTGAGGGCCACCATCATCAATGATAACTGCATTGCAGAGCTTCACTACCGATACTTGAACAGAATTGCACCTGTGATATTGACAGCAACTTCACTGAGTCATCCGGATGATAAAGTCCTCTCTGCAGGTCCTCTTTATAGTTTTGGGCAATGTGAATTGGTTCCAGGGCCTGAAGGAAACGCTCCAATATGGCAACACACAGATTCACTTGTTCTCTGTAGATAGAACACAACATATAGATTAGATGGACTTACAGCAGACACTATGTGGAATCTGTCAGTCCCCTTTCACTGCTCACACAGCAAAGGTCCCCTAAACATTCCAAATTCATTTTTCTACATTAAAGTTTATGGTCAGCCAACATTTATTTTTGATAGATGTCACCCATCATGGCCCCAGTGTCAGGATATGGGAGATGTGTGTCACCTGTCATGGCTCCTCAGTGTCAGGGTATGAGGGATATGTGTCACCTATCATGGCTCCTCAGTGTTAGGATATGGGGGATATAGGTCACCTGTTATGGCCTCTCATGTCAGGATATGGGGATATATGTCACCTGTCATGGCTTCTCGTCAGGATGTGTGGGACAGATGTCACCTTTCATGGCTCCTCATGTCAGGATATGGGGGACAGATGTCATCCATCATGACTCCTCGGTGTCAGGATATGGGAGATATAGGTCACCTGTCATGGCCTCTCATGCCTGAATATATGTCACCTGTCATAGCCTCTTATGTCAGGATAGTGGGATAGATGTCCCGGCTCCTCAGTGTCAGGATATAGGTCACCTGTCATGGCCTATCATGCCTGGATATATGTCACCTGTCAAGGCCTCTCATGTCAGGATATGTGGGACAGATGTCACCTGTCATGGCTCTTCTTGTCAGGATAGGGGGATAGAGGTCACCCATCATGACTCCTCAGTGTCAGGATGTGGGGAATACAAGTCACCTGTCATGGCCCCTCATGTCAGGATGAAAGACAGAGGTCACCTGTCATGGTCCCTCATGTCAGGATATATTTCACCTGTCATTGCTCCTATGTCAGGATATAAGGGATAGATGTCACCTGTCATGGCCCCTCATGTCAGGATATAAGTAATTATGTAACCTGTCACGGCCTCTCATGTCATAATATGAGGGATAGATGTCACCTGTCATGGCCCCTCATGTCAGGATATAAGTAAGATATGTCACCTGTCATGGCCTCTCATGTCAGGATATGAGGGATAGATGTCACCTTTCATGGCCCCACATGTCAGGATATGAAGGACAGATGTCACCTGTCTTGGCCCCTCATGTCAGAATATGAGGGATAGATGTCACCGTTCATGGCCCCTCATGTCAGGATATGAAGGATAGATGTCACCTGTCATGGCCCCTCATGTCAGGATATAAGAGATAGATGTCACCTGTCATGGGACCTCATGACAAGAAATGAGGGATAGATGTCATCTGACATGGCTCCTCAGTGTCAGGAGAGGGGGATATATGTCACCTGTCATGGCCTCTCATATCGGGATATGTCACCTATCACAGCTCCTCATGTCAGCATATGAGGGATATAGGTCACTTGACATGAAGAGTGGGGGGATACCACGGGCTCCTCCTTTGCGGGGTTTATATGTCCCCTGGGGCATATATTGGGATATAGGGAACCATAGCGCCCCCTGTGGCGGTGGAAGGACACACGGCCTCAAATTGGATAACGAAGAGCGCCCCCCAGTGACGACAGAGGACGGTCAGCACCTGTTGGGACTAGCCATGAGGCGAAAGATGACTTCCAGGCGGAAGGCGGGAAGCCTTTCTGACAGGGTGCTGAGCGGCAGGCTGAGAGCCGCGGTCTTTAGATTCCTCAACTCCTCTATGGGCTCCCCAGACCGGACAATATGTTCAACATCTCCTCTATAGAAGCCGCCATCTTCCTCCTCCCAAACAGTTCCGCCGCTACAAAACGCAGAAAACTAACGTCACACCGCACCCTAGGGGCTTCTGGGAGATGCCGGAGTCTTCCGCCCCTTTCTCCGCCCACCTCTAGAACACTCCGAGCGTCAACTCAGCGCTGAATGAGGGGCGTGTTAATGATCATTGTGGTGATGGCTACATCTGTGGGGCTGGACAGTGCATACCTCCAAACAGTATGGAAGGCGTGAGGAGGGATCCTCGTGTATTCTCCACTCTCCCTCTTTTGGGTTTGATGTATAGCGCGCTAAGGCGTGTGTACATTGATTAGACTGAGGTAAGAAGGCGCCATAGTGACTATGGTGCCTTGTCTGTGCTGAGCAGTGGTAGATGGAGCGGTGAGCAGCAAGGAGATGATGTGCTACACTCCCCTTCACAGCATGGAGAGAAATGGTCTCTCACAGCAATACAAATGTGTGTATATATATATGGCCACCCACCTGATATATATATGAACACCACCCACGCCCATCTACTAACCTGCTCAATTTGCAATGTGTCAGTCACTCATCACATGACCCCAAAGTCACTGTGGTAGCGTCTCTCTGTGATTAGCAGCTTCCAGGGGCATCAGCCAGGTATATACGTGGTAGAGCTTTATACACAGGAGAATATGAAAGAAAAGCTGCTCCAGGCCAGATTCTGTTCACATGGCTGCACCACACATCAATTGGTGCTGACCTAAGCTGTGATTGTAGACACGTGAAGAAGTAGAAAGCAGGCTGGCCACACTATAATGATGGTGCAGATAGAACATTTATTGACATCCTCAGTAAAATGACGGTACAAACAAAACCGCTCCCATAAGGAAAAGACACATTTCACACAAACGTGCTTAGTCATTACTATATTAAATCAATCAATGATGTTTTATCTGCAACATCGTTTTAGTGCAGCTAACCTGCTTTCTGCTTCGTCACGCTTTCTATGTGGTATAAAGCCACAATGCGTAAAGGCCCACTACGTCACGCTTTAATAAGTGTACACCTATATCCTTTATTTCACCTTCACACTATTCCATTTTATGTTTTGAAAAACCAGATTAAGGAGAAAGTAGTGATGAAAACAAATGTTTGAGTTGAGCCATTTATTTCTGAACATTAATCTTCATAATCTGCAATATTTGGGGCATGGCAAGGACATGTCCTTTGCTTCCACACTTCATGCTATAATATGACCCCACCCGCCTTTCCTGTCTCACAAAGTTGGTTTGTATGTTTAGAGGAATGCGTGACTTTATAGGGTGTTATATGTTTATAATCTACTTAATAACTGTTTAGAGCAGACGTGCTCAAATTGCTGCCCAGTGCTTTACAGGGCACTATTTCTCTGACACCAAAAGTGGAGCACTATTCATCCCACTGCCTACTGACACCAACAATGGAGCACTATTCTTCCCACTGCCTACTGACACCAACAATGAAGCACTATGCTTGCCACTGCTTACTAAGACCGACAATGGAGCATCATTTCTGCCGCTGACACCAAAAATGGAGCACTATTCCTCCCACTGACAGCAATGATGGGGCACTGTTCCTCCCACTAATACCGATAAGGCTCTATTCCTCCCACTGATATCAATAATGGAGCACTATAGGGTATGAGCACAGACCAATGAAACTCAGATGTTCCATGCATGAGGCTATTTTGACCACTGAGTATCTTGTGCCTTACCTGTTTGGTGTAATCATGGCTGTATCCCAGTATAGTTGGGGGGGTGCTTGTGCAGTGTGACAGTGAAGAGAGATAGAAAGTTAGAATAAAGAGGAACCCCTAATGAAGGTGGTGCTGAACCTATGGCCCATGGAGCCCTCTGATGTGGCCTGCTACCATAAGCTCTGGGATGGCGTGTTGGCAAGCCTAGATTATGGAAGCGGAGGAAGCAGGTGTCAGCATAGGGAGCAGGAGCCACGTAAGCCAATGTTTCTTCTGTAACGCTGGCTCCTGTCCCAGGCAGAGTGACACCAGGTGCACTTCGCCTGGGACCTTTCTAGCAGCCTAGCAATGCCAGCAGAAGCTGGAAGAGAAAAATGTTGGGTTATTAAACATCACATAGTTTTGAAAAGGGCATATTAGCACTTTTAAAAAAGGGTTATAAGCTGCTTTCACACTGAACTGCGGGTGCAGCAAAGTGCAGTTCGAGTTAGCTGCACTGAGCCATAGACTTCTATTCTAGCCTGCGGGTTTGGTGAACTTTCCAAAACCACACCAAAACAAGTGAATGCAGGATTTTTGGTGTGCTTTCAGAAAGTGCACCACACCTCAAGATCTAATAGAAGTCTATGGCACAGCATAGAGACTGGTGTAACGTCAGGGTTCACAATGGCGACCCCGCCCATGCTCCAAGGGGCTCTTGCGGCCTAGCTGTCACATTCTGTTTTACACTTGGACAGGAGGAGCGATGAGGGCGGCATATACAGGAACTAATCCTCTCCACTTTCCTACTGAAATCCGGCTTCTCTCCCTCCCACCAGCATTCAGCGGCTGCAGTAGGAAAATGTTCATTATGCTATTCAAAATTAAAAATTCTGAACCACTTAATTTCATTGTGGCCTGCAACCAGTTACCAAATCACTTAAGTGGCCCTCGCTCTTTAAAAGAATGAGCACCCCTGCCCTAATGTATGTGTTCCGTAATGTCATATGCGGAGAACACTGGGCATCCTCTGGTTGGGGGGTGAGGAGGCAGCGTATTTAAATGGCAGCCACCATTACCATGAGGCTCATAGTGCCTCTGGGATGGATATGTGCATAGGGAGAAGAGTTCCCCAAAAAAGATAGTTTTATGTGGGACTATGCAGATTTATCAAAGGGCTTTTATTAGAAAAAAAAAACAAATGTGCATTGCACAAATATACATACAGAAGCTGAGCACACCACCACTGTAACTTCACCACTTGTGTATACTTGTGCAATGCACATTTGTTTTTGTATTTTCTAATAAAGCCCTCTAATAAAGGTCCATATATATTTGGACACAGGCACAATTTTAGAATATTTCAGGTATTTACCAAAACATATTCAAGCAATAATTATATAATAGATATGTGCTGAAAGTGCACACTCTCAGGTTTAATTTTAGGGTATGTACACCCAAATTGAAGGAAGGGTTTAGGAATTACAGCTCTTAAGAGTAGCCATCCCCCTTTTTCAAAAGTCCAAAAGTAATTGGACAATTGAATATAATCATAAATAAAATGTTCATTTTCAATATTTTGTTGAGAATCTTTTACTGGTAATGACTGCCTGAAGTCTGGAACCCATGGACATTACCAAGGACTGGGTTTCCTCCTTTCTGATGCTTCGCCAGGCTCCAGCTGCAACTGTCTTCAGTTGTTCTTTGTTTGTGGGTCTTTCTACCTTTAGTTTTGCCTTCAGCAAGTGAAATGCATGCTCAGTTGGGATGGGATCAGGTGATTGACTCGACCATTGCAGAATATTCAACTTCTTTTCCTTCAAAAGCTCCTGGATTGCTTTTGCAGTGTGTTTTGGATCATTGTCCATCTGTACTATGAAGCACTGTCCAATTAACGTTGCTGCATTTGGCTGAATCCGGGTTGACAGTATATCTCTAAACACTGCAGAATTCATCCTGCTGCTTCTGTCACATCATCGATAAACACCAATGACCCAGTGTCACTGGAAGTCATGCATGTCCATGCCATCACACTGCCTCCACCATGTTTTACAGATGATGTTGTGTGCTTTGGATCATGAGCTGTTCCAAGCCTTCTCGACACTTTTTTCTTTCCGTCATTCTGGTACAAATTAATCATCCGTCAAAAAATGCTTTTCCAGAACTGGTCTGGCTTTTTTAGATGTTTTTTGGCAAAGTCTAATCTGGCTTTTCTATTCTTCAGGCTTATGAATGGTTTGCACCTTGTGGTGAACCCTCTGTATTTGCTCTTGTGAAGACTTCTTTTGATTGTAGACTTTGACAATGATACGCTCACCTCCTGGAAGTGTCCTTCACTCGTCTGGATGTTGTGAGTGGGTTTTTCTTTACCATAGAGAGGATCCTGCGATCATCCACCACTGTTGTCTTTCGTGGACGTCCATGCTTTTTTATGTTGCTGAGCTCACCAATGCGTTCTTCTTTCCTCAGAATGTACCAAACTGTCGATTTGGCCATTCCTAATGTTGCTGCTATCTCTCCGATAGATTTGTTTCCTTTTTGAAGCCTTACAGTGGGCTGTTTCACTTGCATGGACAGCTCCTTTGAACGCATGACGTAGGTTCACAGCAATCGATTCCAAATGCAAGTACCACACTTAAAATGAAGCCCAGAACTTTTACCTGCTTAACCTATGAAGAAAAAACGAAGGAGTAGCCCATACCTGGCCATGAAACAGGGGGGATGGCTACTCTTAAGAGCTGTAATTCCTAAACCCTTCCTCCAATTTGGATGTACATACCCTCAAATTAAACCTGAGGGTGCGCACTTTCATCCCATATCCATTGTATAACTATAGCTTAAATATGTTTTGGTCAATACCTGAAAAATCTAAAATTGTGCCTGTGTCCAAATTTATATGGACTTAACTGTAAGTTACACCTTGTGTAATTTAATCTCAGTATAAATACAGCTGTTCTGTGAAGCCCTCAGAGGTGTGTTAGAGAACATTAGTGAACAAACAGCAATATGAAGGCCAAGGAACACACCAGACAGGTCAGGGATAAAGTTGTGATTAAGATTAAAGCAGGGTTAGGTTATACAAAAATATCCCAAGCTTTGAACATCTCACAGAGTGCTGTTCAATTCATCATCTGAAAATGGAAAGAGTATGGCACAACTACAAACCTACCAAGACATGGCCGCCCACCTAAATTATAAGGCATTAACCAGAGAAGCAGCCAAGAGGCCCATGGTAACTCTGGAGAAGCTGCAGAGATCCACAGCTCAGGTGGGAGAATCTGTCCACAGGACAACTGGACAATTGTGCATTCCATAAATCTGTCCTTTATGGAAGAGTGGCAAAAAGAAAGCCATTGTTGAAAGAAAGCCATAAGAAGTCCTGTTTTCAGTTTTGGAGAAGCCATGTGGGGGACACAGCAAACATGTGGAAGAAGGTGCGTTGGTCAGATGAGACCAAAATTGAACTTTTTGGCCTAAAAGCAAAATGCTATGTGTGGCAGAAAACTAAAACGGCAGATCACTGTGAAACGTGATGGCAGCATCATGTTGTGGGGATGCTTTTCTTCAGCAGGGACAGGGAAGCTGGTCAGAGTTGATGGGAAGATGGATGGAGCCAAATACAGGGCAATCAAAGTCCAGACCTAAATCCAATTGACAATCTGGCAAGACTTGAAAAGTGCTGTTCACAGACGCTCTCCATCCAATCTGACAGAGCTTGAGCTATTTTGCAAAGAAGAATGGGCAAAAATTTCACTCTCTACAGGTGAAACTCAAAACATTTGAATATCGTGCAAAAGTTCATTTATTTCAGTAATGCAACTTAAAAGGTGAAACTAAGATATGAGATACTCATTACATGCAAAGCAAGATAGTTCAAGCCGTGATTTGTCATAATTGTGATGATTATGGCTTACAGCTCATGAAAACCCCAAATCCACAATCTCAGAAAATTAGAATATTACATGCAATCAATAAAACTAGGATTGTACATAGAACAATATCGGACTCTGAAAAGTATAAGCATGCATATGTACTCAGTACTTGGTTTGGGCCCCTTTTGCAGCAATTACTGCCTCAATGTGGCGTGGCATGGAAGCTATCAGCCTGTGGCACTGCTGAGGTGTTATGGAAGACCAGGATGCTTCAATAGCGGCCTTCAGCTCTTCTGCATTGTTCAGTCTCATGTCTCTCATCTTTCTCTTGGCAATGCCCCATAGATTCTCTATGGTTCAGGTCAGGCAAGTTTGCTGGCCAATCAAGCACAGTAATCCCACGGTCATTGAACCAGGTGTTGGTGCTTTTGGCAGTGTGGGCAGGTGCCAAGTCCTGCTGGAAAATGAAGTCAGCATCCCCAAAAAGCTCGCCTGCAGAAGGATGCATGAAGTGTTCCAGAATCTCCTGGTAGACGGCTGCGTTGACCCTGGACTTAATGAAGCACAGTTGACCAACACCAGCAGATGACATGGCTCCCCAAATCAACACAGACTGTGGAAACTTCACACTGGACTTCAAGCATCTTGCAGTGTGTGCCTCTCCATTCTTCCTCCATACTCTGGGTCTTTGGTTTCCAAATGAGATGCAAAAGTTGCTCTCATCAGTAAAGAGGACTTTGGACCACTGAGCAACAGACCAAGTCTGTTTTTCTTTAGCCCCGGTAAGACGCTTCTGACATTGTTTATTGTTCAGGAGGGGCTTGACAAGAGGAATACGACATTTCAAGCCCATGTCCAGGATCCGTGGCTCTTGATGCACTGACTACAGCTTCAGTCCACTCCTTGTGAAAGTCCCCAACACTTTTGAATGGCCTTTTCCTGACAATCCTCTCCAGGCTGCGATCATCCCTGCTGCTTGTGCACCTTTTTCTTCCACACTTTCTAGCACCATATTAAAGCACTATTGGTCACTGCATAGTGACAGAGTTATATGATACCACTAAGTCACTTTATTTTGAATGCTATATTAAGTACTTTATCACAGGTCACTTTATTGAATGTACTCATTTATATATTTGATATATGCAATTCACATATGTAGTTATGTTAATTTAACGTTTTAGCGCTGCACCCAATTTTATGTTGCTGATTTTTAAATGCAATTGGCAGCTTTTTTTTCCTTCACTGTAGCTCACAGAATTAGCTATCACTTTCCCCGGAATTAAAGGAAGCATTGTTTCTTTTAAGAAACTAAAAGAAAACATTGTTTCTTTTAACTTGGGGAAATAAACTAAAAGAAAACTTTCTTTTAGCTGGGGGGAAAGTGACAGCTGAATCTCTGAGCTATAGTGAAGAGAAAAAAAAGCGGTAATTACATTTAAAAAACAGCACCATAATAATAAATGGTGTGGGGTCCCCCTTCCTATCCATACCAAGCCTTTTGGGTATGGATTTTGAGGGGAACTCCCACGCCAAGATTAAAAAAAAAATGGCGTGGGGGTCCCCCCAAAATCCATACCAGACTCTTATCCGAGCATTTAGCACCGCAGGTCAGGAAAGGGGGGGGGCGAGCGAGCGCCCCCCCCCCATCCTGAACCATACCAGGCCACATGCCCTCAACATGGGGGGGTGCTTTGGGGAAGGGGGGCTCCCCCCCAAAGCACCTTGTCCCCATGTTAATGGGACAAGGGCCTCTTCCCCACAACCCTGGCCAGTGGTTGTCAGGGTTTGCGGGCAGGGGGCTTATCGGAATCTGGATGCCCCCATTAAAAAGGGGGCCCCCAGATCCCGCCCCCCCTCTATGTGAATGAGTATGGGGTACATGGTCCCGATACTCATTCACAAAAATTAAAAAGTGTAGTGTGAAAAAAGACAAGACACGGTCTTTGACAGGTCCTTTATTAAACTAAAAAACTAAAAGAATGTCCCCTGCAGTAGATCCAACGTCAATCACGTCAATCACAAATTCTGCAGCACCCGTAAACAGCAAATTTAAATAATCCCCTTGATTTTTTTGGAGCTGTTTTTCACAGAAGATCTGTATGTATCGATTGTGGATCAAAGCAATTTATATTCACAACAGTTTATTGCCGCCAATCCAAATTCAAAACTCACCAGACCATTCGCATGGAAACCCATTCCGGTTTCTCCAAATTTAAAGTTTTTTTGGGCCTAACCCTCAACATGGGCATTACTAAAATTGTGGTTCTATGTAATGTGTTTTATGCATTTCAATGAAAACACACTCTGTTGTCTTCAGGGTGATCCTGAATTTGACCTGCTCCACAAAATTCGTAAATCAACTTAACTAAAAATGTGCAGATGTCTATACCCCCCAGCAAAACTTCTGCGTTTGATGAATCCCTCATTAATTTTTCTGGACGCTTTTCATTCAATTTCTTCACAGCAAGCGTGCCAGATATGGGGTCAAGATGTAGAAGACCCGTGAGAGGGCAACAGGCTATACATATAAGTTTCGGATTTATGAGGGAAAAGATAGTCATGTGAAGCCCCCTGGATGCCCAGACTACATGGGGAGCAGTGGCAAGATAGTTTGGGACTTGGTGTAATCCTTTTTCCAAAATGGGGTACCACTTATACGTGGCAATTTTTATTCAAGCTTGCCACTATTTAGACATTTGTACAATCTTGGAATTGGCGCATGTGGCACCGTGTGACTTAATTGCCACAGCTTCCCCAACGGCTTATAAATACCCATCTTAGAAAGGGGGCAAAAGCGTGCTTTAGAAATGAGGATGTCATTCAGCTGGAGCACCTAATTGTTTATTCTTACAGCAACAGGGTCTTGCTCTCAGAATATACACAAGTAGGTGTGTGCAGTGCTGTTGGATGAGATTTTTCATCTGCAGTTAAAAAAAGAGCATATATGCCGAAGCATGGGGGCCTGGGGTGGCCAGTGGGTGGATGGCCCCTATGCTTTGGAATATATTTTATAATATTTTTTGGCACATTTCATGTGTGCCCACCATTAGAAGTGGGTGGATGCAGGGTGGTATATTCTAATGGTGAGCATACCACACACTTTTTCTGGCAGAGATTTCTCTATTTTTCATTCAGCCCACAGGCTGCATAAAAAAAAAATGAACATAGCATATACACCCAACAAGGACCAGCGACGTATTGGTGCATCACAGGACTTTGAGTGGTTATACCAGGATGATGTCTGCAGGTGCAGGCATCATCCTGGTATGGTGTTTTTCAGCTGCAGAATTGCTTTTACAAGCAGCGGGGGAAGATGCCCCCTTCCCCCGCTGCCTTCCACGGCCTTCTCGAGCAGTCCCATGCCATTGGAGAAACCTAAGAATGCAGTCAATGTTTCTGCCAGCTAACCATAGAGCTGATTGGAGACTAGAATGGTGCCAATCATTTCTATAGGCTAACCAATTGGAAGCTACGAGCATTTCATCACTTCAGTTGCGCAGGATATAAACAGCACCATTTGTAAATTGAGAAAACATCTGATCACACTGATCTTGGTGAGATTAGATAATGTAAGGGCAGAGGAGATATCTAGAGTTTGACAGACCCCAGATATCTCAAAAAAGAATAATGACAATGCCCCTTGAATTTATAGGGGATAATTACATTCCCTGTGATAGTATTAAAAGTGATTAAAAAAATGAAAGGGACAGTGTAAAAATAATTTAAAAACTCAAAATAACTTAAAAAAAAAAAAGCACCTCGAACCCCCCCGGGCATTGACCCTGTGCCAGTATGTAAACAGCCGTTACACCATGCATGTGAGGTATCGCCATGAGCGTCAGATCTCGGCAGTAATTCTAGCACTAGACCTCCTGTGTGAATCTAAAATGGTAGCTTGTAAAGGCTTTTAAAATGTTGCCTATGGATATTAAAAATGTATGCAGTTTGTCGCCATTGCACGGGGCATGCACAGTTTTAAAGCATGTCATGTTTGGTATCTATTTGCTCGGCATACCGTCATCTTTTATGTCTTACCAAATAATTAGCCAATATATTATGTTTTTTTGCATTAAAAGTAAAAGTTATTTTTTTTAAAAAAAATTGTGTTTGAAAAATCGCTGCGCGAGTACTATGTGACGTAAAAAAATTGCAGCACCCACCATTTTATTCACTAGGGTGTTTGCTTTAAACAAATATATAATGTTTGGGAGTTCAAAGTAATTTCCTAGCAGAAAATACTGATTTATTTCATGTGAACAAAAAGTGTCAGAAAAGGCTTGGTCTTCAGGTGGTTAGAAGAGTGAGTGATATGTGGCATAAACTTTTAATGCTGGACATAAAATGCCCCCCCCCCCAAAATGACCCCTTTTTTGAAAGTAGACACCCCAGATTATTTGCTGAGAGGCATGTTGAATCAATAGAAGATTTAATTTTTTTACCACAAGTTTTTGGAAAATGACAAAAAAAATAATTTTTTTTCTTAAACACAAATTGTCACTTAAATGATTTATTGCTCAGACATGCCATAGGTATATGTGGAATTACTCCCCAAAATACATGCAACTGTCACCCTGCCACTGCCAGCACAGATACAGTCTTTCTGTGACACTGATTTTGTCTTTAATATTGGTGCTGGTGGCATCTTATGGCACTTTTTTTTACAAATTAAAAGAAATTTAGCAGTCTCATGTTTTGTTGATTTAATATTTTCTACTGTTATTTAAAAAAAAATGTTTAGGGGGGTTTTGCAAGTAGGGGTGCAAGTAGCTGGTCTTGCCTAGGGTGCAAAATAGTATAGCACCGGCCCTGCCTAACATAGTTGTGAACATTACGTATAGTTGCCTCAGTTCTCACAGCCATCCTCATTGAGATACATCTGCATTACAGTTTATTGTACAAGCTGACCACAGGACACACAGTTGCAAGCCAGGATACAGTAGTGCCAGCTGAAACTAAAAGCTTCCATTCTTCAACAAAGCAAGATTCCCATTACTGTTTATTTTTGCCTTCAATGCACAGAGGGAGCTGTATGTGCCTATAGACCAGTGGTTCTTAACCTTTTTGGAGGTACTGAACCCCACCAGTTTCATATGCGCATTCACCGAACCCTTCTTAATTGGAAAAATAAAATATGATTTTTAAAATTCAAAACATAGGTATATATTTATACATAGGTGCACAAAATGAACAAAACCATTAAGAACAAAGAACAAAACCATTAAAACATGATTTTCACACAAAAACAAAATAATGAATATTTACCGCAAATCAGTGTGACTTCTGCTGTTGTCTTTCAGAGGCCAGTTCAGAAATGCGCGGCATTACCTTGGCAAGTGCCACTCTCATGTCATTTTCGCAACAAAGTCTGTTCCTTTTCTTCGTCTTTATGTCCAGCATCCTTGAAAAGGATTGCTCGCAAAGATATGTTGTAACAAACGGTATGAAAATTCATCCCCCATAGTAATTCATCCCCCATATAGTAATTCATCCCCCATATAGTAATTCATCCCCCATAGTAATTCATCCCTCATAGTAATTTCATCCCCCATATAGTAATTCATCCCCCATATAGTAATTCATCCCCCATATAGTAATACATCCCCCATATAGTAATTCATCCCCCATATAGTAATTCATCCCCCATATAGTAATTCATCCCCCATATAGTAATTCATTCCCCATAGTAATTCATTCCCCATATTAATTCATCCCCCATATTAAGTCCCCAAGTCCCCCCTGTGTCAATTCACTTACCTTTGCTCCGCGCGTTCCTCTCGCTGTATTCCTGCGCCGTTCCGGTCTTCAGGGCGGACTGTGAGAGGAGCCTAGCTCCTCTCACGTTCGTCACGCTGCCCCGCCTACACACATTCTGACAGCCAATCACTGGCTATCAGGATGTGAGTGGCAGCGAGACTGGCCAATCATTGCATTTGAGTCCCTGCCGCCCGAGAGGAGGGAGGGGAGCGGGCGCCCGGCACACAAGAGCCGCGGCTTGCCGACCACTGGGCATGTCATCACAAATCATGAGTCGGGTGTGGGTCACCTCCGCCGAACCCCCGAGACTGACTCACCGAACCCCTGGGGTTCGATCGAAACCCAGGTTAAGAACCACTGCTATAGACATTTATGCCCATTGTTGCTCTTCATTTCTTCAAGCCTGCCCCATGTTTAGTGCTTTAAAGGGAACCCTGCCCTAATTCGCTACCATCAAGAGGAAAAGTGTTAAATCTCCCTTGTTTCTTCACTATTTTTGTGATACCGTCCCACGGAACTATATTCCACACCTCAACTCAACTTCATACCAACTGGGCTCCAACAAGCACGCAGAAGACATTGTAGTGTTCTTAAAGGGACAGTGCTGAATTTCAAATGAGAATTCTCTTTCCTTCACATCTAATCATTGTCATCTAATTCTGAGGACCCACAGTGAGCTTACCTGTTTCTTGATAGTTGTTTCTGCTCACTGGGAATACAGCAGTCCCTTCAGATTGGAGGCAGTGGATTATTTCTGAAAGTAAGTCTACCAACAGTTATTGTTGCTTTATGGCAAATGTTGTTACTTCTGCTCACAATTACCAGGAGTGATTATATTTGCTGCAAATATCAGTGTCATTTTGTTCTTTTTGACCAAGTTACCTTTAATTCCATTATAAATGTCATATTGGTCTATACTAACTAGTTTACATTTTACAGTTGTGATTTACTTTGGTCACAAGTGCACAGTGGTGTCAGCAGGGGTTGGGCTTTCAACAAAAGGTTCAGATTGACAGGAAACCGAAAAATTACTAAGCAACCCGTAAGGAGGTAGTGCTACAGAGATAAAAATCCTGAATGTAAGTGCCCTATTCACAAAAAACTTCACCCTCTTAAGAAATGTTGTGGGCTTAGGGCAAAGACTCTACAAAAATGCAGGGAGATACTCAGAGACTTGGATGACATTATACTACCCAGTCATCTGCCACATCCTGTTGTTTTCTGTAACCTGCTGCATTCAATAAAGATCTTTGTGGATGAGAAAAGGTGTTTGGCGAGTTCAGCGAATTGATAAAGACTGTCCACAGTGATTGTGTCTGCTTATACAGGCCAGGCATAGAGGTATCAGCAAGGGATAAGTCACTATTACAACAGTTGGAGTCAGAATAGACCTAGACTGCCTTGAGCTCCAGAGGAAGGCAATAGTGAAACATATTAAAACCTGATATATATACACTGCTCAAAAAAATTTAAGGAATGCTTTTTAATCAGAGTATAGCATCAAGTCAATTAAAACACTGGGATATTGATCTGGTCAGTTAAGTAGCAGAGGGGGTTGTTAATCAGTGTCAGCTGCTTTGGTGTTAATGAAATTAACAACAGGTGCACTAGATGGGCAACAATGAGACAACCCCCAAAACAGGAATGGTGTTACAGGTGGAGGCCACTGACATTTGTTTCCCTACTCATTTTTCTGACTGTTTTTCACTAGTTTTGCATTTGGCTATGGTCAGTCACTACTGGTAGCATGAGGCAATACCTGGACCCTACAGTGCTTGCACAGGCAGTCCGACTCCTCCAGGATGGCACATCAATACGTGCAATTGCCAAACGGTTTGCTGTGTCTCCCAGCACAGTGTCAAGAGCATGGAGAAGAGTCCAGGAGACAGGCAGTTACTCTAGGAGAGCTGGACAGGGCCGTAGAAGGTCCTTAACTCGTGAATAGGACTGGTATTTGCTCCTTTGTGCAAAGAGGAACAGGATGAGCACTGCCAGAGCCCTACAAAATGACCTCCAGCAGGTCACTGGTGTGAATGTCTATGACCAAACAATCAGAAACAGACTTCATGAGGGTGGCCTGCGGCCCGACTTCCTCTAGTGGTCCCTGTACTCACTTCCTGGCACCGTAGAGCTCAATTGGCATACCACATAATACTAATATTCATAACAACCTGGTTTAGTTGACTGTATATATTGTGACAATATACTAGTCTTTTTATGTATTGTATCAATATGATCTCTGTATACACGTCATTTTAATATTATAATAAGACTAATCACCGTTCGGTTTTGGATTTTCTCTAATTATTGATCTTATAACTTAATTGTCTTTTAGTTAATATTTATAGAAACATATACCCTTCTTGAAAGGATGATTCCCTTTATATGAATATTTCATTTTATGAATATTTAATTTTAGATATTTTTATTTATATTTTTATGTAATATTGTATGTGTTTATTACGTTATATTTTTAACTGAGAGGCCATTCACTGAATTATACAGTTTTATTGTACTGCCAATGTCGTTTGTTTAGCTGGTTTGCACATGCCATAGAGTTCAGGTGCTTCTGACACCTGTAGTTCTATAAGCTACATCAAGTAGGTTTACCACCAATATATATGGATCTTGTCACATAATCATTATTGTGCCACTGGAAATCATTATCCATTATTAGATTCCTTGCATATGAATTCGATTTATATATACATAACAATCTGGCTAA